GCTTGGTTCAAACACTGCACCCTGGCAAATGGCCCTTTCCCCTCTTCTCTAAGAGAAGACTCAAGCAATGATTCCTTGCTCCACTTAGCAGCAAATTAACCACCTGAATCTGTTCTGTTTCTAAGCAAGAGCTGCAGGTTGAATCCTCATCCCCATCTCAGCTCCTTTTTGCAAGTGGTTCCTCCCCCAGACCAGTTCCAGGTTGCATCCCCATCCCAGCTCCTCTTTGCAAATGGAACCTCCCCCAAACCAGTTCCAGGTTGCATCCCCATCCCAGCTCCTCTTTGCAAATGGAACCTCCCCCAAACCAGTTCCAGGTTGCATCTCCATCCCCATCCCAGCTCCTCTTTGCAAATGGAACCTCCCCCAGACCAGTTCCAGGATGCATGCCCATCTCAGCTCCTGTATCCAGATGAGACCGCCCCCAAAGCAGTTCCAGGTTGCATCCCCATCCCAGCTCCTCTTTGCAAATGGAACCTCCCCCAAACCAGTTCCAGGTTGCACCCTCATCCCCATCTCAGCTCCTCTTTGCACATGGAACCTCCCCCAGACCAGTTCCAGGCTGCATCCCCATCCCAGCTCCTCTTTGCAAATGGAACCTCCCCCAAACCAGTTCCAGGTTGCATCTCCATCCCCATCCCAGCTCCTCTTTGCAAATGGAACCTTCCCCAGACCAGAGAGCAGATCCATGGGGAACTTGGCCACTGGAGCCAGCTCAGCATGGTGAAAAAGTGATGAAATGACTATTACTGGTGCAATCCTGACAGTGGGAAACCAGGGAAGGGGGTGTTTGGTGGTTCCCTGCTGTGATTTTTAGGATCCCAAGGCTGGTGACCCTCAACCAGCTCTTCCTGCTTCATCCCTCCTGTGGGGCTGGATGCTTCCCTGCCCACTGGAGCTCAGCACCATGGCCTCAGCTCTCCCAGCTCCATCTGGGAGCCATTGGGAAGGCACTGGTACCCCACCAGCATCCCCCCTCCCTCTGTGTAGCACCACACACAGCCCCATGTCTGCTTTGAATGTTGGGTCAGGAGGTCCAGCTGATACATCCAACTGGTTCCAGCTCTCATGCACACCAAGGTGCAGGTGACTAAAAGAACTTCAGATTGTTATTGAAGAAGAAACCACCAGAACATTGAGCCCCTGGCCCAGGTTGTCCAGAGAAGCTGTGGCTGCCCCATCCCTGGCAGTGTTGAAGGGCAGGTTGGATGGGGCTTGGAGCAGCCTGGGCTGGTGGGAGGTGTCCCTGCCCATGCAGGGGGTTGGAACTAGATGATTTTGAAGGTCCCTTCCAACCCAAACCAGTCTGGGTGTTTATGATAAATAAAACCTTTGGGAACAAGGATGATGAGCAGCAGTTGTGCTCATCACTTAGGTTGCACAAGCTTTTGCTTCACCTTCTTTTGTCTTGTTTTTCAGGAAACCTCTCTCCTCCCTTCTCCATCCCGGATCTGACTTTCACAGTCTGTGCTTTATCTTCCCATTTCTCTTCTCTCCTGCAGAGCCAAGTTCCCATTATGTCATTTCCTTGAAGGCCTTTAACAATGCAGGAGAAGGGGTCCCTCTCTATGAAAGTGCCACCACCAGGTCCATGACAGGTGAGTTGCAAATGCTGGGTCACAACCTGCTGCCCATCAAGGAACGTTCTCCTCACCCAGGTGCACTTTAGGCCACATCATTCTGGTCAGGACAATGGAAGAAAAGAGCTCTGCAACCTCTGGGTTTCCCACTTCAAGAAAACAGCTTCATTTCCCACTTGCTTGGAATGACTCAGCTGGAATGAGTGATTGACCCTTTCCAGAAATTGGCTCCATGAACTTGTTGGGATGCTCAGGATCAGTTGCTCTTTGGGGCAGGTGGTCTTGGGATGGGGCAGGACTCCCAGACAGTTGAAATGGTTCCAGATCAGGGCAGAATCGTGGTGAATAACTTGGCTGGATGAAGCCCTGATGAAATGAGGTTTGGTTTCCTTCATTTCTCAAGCAGTGGAAAGGAAAATGAATTAACAGCCCAGTCACCCTTCGTGTTTCTAGAAGCCCTCAGAGGGGTTGCAGGAGGTGAAGGAACGTTCTGAAAAGGTCCTCTAGCAGGAGAAGGCTTGGAGAAGGGATTACCCAGAGGTAACAGAGCAGGGGGTGCTTTTAGGCACCTGTTTTTCACAGGTGGGTTGTTGGGAAGTTCTAAAATGCAATTTATTCCTGGGTTGCACCACCTGCCAGCCTTGCCTGCTGGGTTTCCTGCCATCACTGCTGGCTTGGGCCTGATGAGGGGTTGAAAGAATTTTTTCCAACTAGCAAAACCACACAGCTCTTTTCCCTCTGGAGTGGCCCTGGTGTCTGGTGAAGGTTTTTTTCCTGGCGTTTCACCCTTGGTGTTCAGAGCTGCCTGGAAAGGGGAGCTGTGTCACTGAGAGCAAACCCGATCGCTGACGCTGGCTTGGGTGGATCGTGAGGGAGAAACCAACCCCATGGCCCTTCCTGTGGCTCTGCAAGGGAAAAGCAGCTTCTCTCCCCATGGCTTTTGTGAAGTATTCCCATGAGAAATCTTGGAAAGTCAGGAGGAAAAAGAAAGCAGGAGAAAAAGATTAATTACACAATGAAGGGCAACCATGACACGCTATATGAGATACAATAAGTGTCAGGGAACTTCTGGCTCAAAATGATTAATCTTTCTTCTTGCCTGGTGTCTACAGAGGTCATTCTTGATGAGTTTGTGTCTGGTAAAATCTGTTTCCAGTCAGTTTGCCTCAGGATCCAAATATAATTCGATTTTGAAGGGGGTTTTGTTGTTGTTGTTGTTTTCCCCTGTTGATTCTGTTTAAAAACTACCCTGCTGGCTGGTGGGATTGGGTTTATAACCTTTCATAAAGCAGGTGGGGAAAGGTGACTCAGGTTTGGGCTCTTGCTTTGGTGAACTGACCTGATGATGATCTGTGAGCAGTTCAGCTGGGGCTGCTCTCTGATTGCTGAGGGTTGTCTGGACCCTGGGCTTCCCACCACCTCCCACCCATGGGATGCAGCCTCTGAAAGGAGTCAACAGCCTCATTCCTGGAGGAACATCTCAAAAAAATGCTTCTAGCAAAGCAGGAAAGCATGGAAACTGTACCACAAACACCAAAAAAAACCCCCAAAACTCTGCCATTGTGTGTCCATTTACCATCTTTACATCCTCTGGTGTCTGCTGGGCTGCAAACTGAAGTTACACAACGTGCAGAGCTCACAGAAACAATGCCAAGGAGGGCAAATTCCTGCCAGGGGGTGGCAGCTTCCAAATGGCAGGTTGTCCATGCAGAAGTAAAGAACACCTGAAGCTTCAGTGGGAAGTGGAGAAAGTCTTGAGGGACCACGGGTGGATTCTGGACCTTTCCCTCTTCCTCAGGTCAGTGGTGACGTGTTTCAGACACTGAATGATCTTCATGGATTGAGATGTTTTGTTTTGCTAAAGCCAGGTTGTTGCCAGAAGCCCCTCAGCAACAGGCCTTCAGTTTTCAGGGTGGGAAAGAAAGGAGAAGGGAAAAAGCAACATTTGTTAACCAACTCAGCTCCAGGCTCATCAACTTCCATCATCAGTTGGTAGGAAAAATAAATAAATCCCAACAGAAACAGGCATTTCTCCCCTCCCAAAGGTTACAACCAAGAAAACTTCCATTCAGAAGAAGAAATTGCTCCTTTTCAACTTGGAGAAGCTCAATTCACCAGGATTGGGAGAGAAAAGAAGTTATTGGAATGTGCTGGACTTTTGGATCCCTCCCAACAGCAACTGGGTGGTTTGATTTCCTTCAGTGCTCTTATTAAAGCTGATAAAGCAGCTTTTGGTGAGAGAAGCAACCAAAGGAGCTGGTGGAACCTGATGGCTGATGGTGCATTTGAAACATCCTTGTTTCTCCTCTGGTTTCCCTGCTGAAGGCTGTGACCTCCCCAGGTTCTGAAGAATGAATCAGACAAACCCCAAACCAGGAGGGATCAAAGAGTGTCAGGAGCTGGGTTTGCACATGGAGCAGGCAAACTGTAGCCACAGCCAGGGAGGGAATATTAGAGTCATTTCTGCTTTGATTAATTAATTAGCACATTATTTTAAGCAGGGGGAAAAAAACCACTCACTGAAACGTAACCCCCTCCTCCTTTGTTGGTGTGGTTTTTTTGCTGCACTCGCTGCCTTTTGAAGTTGTATTTAGCAATTTCAGGAGGAAGTAAATAATGAGTGTAGCTCTCAAAGGGAGGCCAGAAGTTGCCTTCCCCAAAGGGCAGAGTCAACAGGTAACCAGCAGGTAACTAACCCAGCCAGGACGTGCCCCGGTGTCACCGTGGCCTGCACGTGGTGCTCAACACCTTGCTCCCCAAAGAACCCCTGAGCCCAGAAGAAGACCCCCTGAACCCAGCAAGAAGATCACCCACCTCCTCACAGCTGGGGGTGCCCAGATCTCCCAGTGACAGTGGCAGCCCAAGATCTTCCCCTCGGACGTCGTCGCGCTCTGGTTTGCCCGACACGTGTGGATGGAGATGCAGGTTTTCCTTTCAAGCACCTCAAGCCACCAAAAGAGGCTGTTGAGGGAGGACAGTGTGGGGAGCTCCTCCACGAGGGTCATGTTTGGAAATCAGGTTGGGAGGTGATGGACTCTTCCCTGCCTGGGTGGTTTCATTTCAGTGGGGTCAGGTTTGGATGGCAAGGGAAGTCATTTGGAGGAAGGAGTGTGCATGGGCTTCATCTGGTGTGAAGGAGACCCACCATGCCTGGAAGCCTTTCAGCAGGTCATGTCAAAAACACTGGTTAGTGCTCTGAAGGCTGGTTGGAGCACTGGTTAGTTGTGTTGTAGTGATGTAACTGAGCTGTGGAGGGCGAGTTCTCATTTTGCATTAATGCCTTTCTTTCTGTTCTCCCCATGTTCCTCCTCCTCATTAATGCCATGCATTTAACCCATTGTGCTGTGTGCCCCTTGGTGGCTCTTTGTGTTTTGCTTTGGTTTGTTGTTTTTTCTTTCCTTTTCTGTTTAACTTACCTCTCCATTTCTTTTGGAATGCTCATTGGGTGATGGATGGAACCCAGACCCCATCGACCCATTAGAAGTTGATTTTTATCCTTTGCTTGACGATTTCCCTACCTCAGTCCCAGATATCTCCACCCCCATGCTCCCACCAGTAGGTGTCCAGGCTGTTGCACTTACACATGATGCAGTGAGGGTCATCTGGGCAGACAACTCTGTCCCCAAGAACCAAAAGGCAACGGAGGTTCGTTTCTACACGGTGCGATGGAGAACGAGCTACTCGACCAGTGCCAAGTACAAGGTGACACTTTCACATCTTCTCAACTTAGCAGCCATTTCAGCCCTTCAGGTTGTGTTTGCAAAGAGTCTGGCTTGGCTTTTATGGCCTCCTCATTTCAGTCCAGAGGAGAGTTGCCCGAGTGACTCCTGCTCCCTGGGAACCTGTGGGTTTAGGTGGAGGGAAGTGGCCTCTTTGAATTCCACCTGCCAAGGGTTGGAGGTTTGGGTCTTGAATCTTTATGGTATAAATCAGTCACAGATCTAGTAGCACAACAGTGCAGTGTGAATGGGGAGAAGTGGCATTTGCAAACTTGGATGGGGCTTGGAGCAGCCTGGTCTAGTGGGAGGTGTCCCTGCCCATGGCAGGTTTAGAACAAGATGATCTCTAAGGTCCCTTCCAACCCAAACCAGTCTGGGGTTCTATGATCCACACCACATGGCAGTTTCCCCCACCCAGATGACATGTTCATACACGTGCTGAAATTCTTCCCCATGAGGGTAGGAAGGCACTGGAACAGGTTGCCCAGGGAGGTTGTGGCTGCCCCATCCCTGGAGGTGTTCAAGGCCAGGATGGATGGGGCTTGTGCAGCCTGGTCTGGTGGGAGGTGTCCCTGCTCATGGCAGGGGGGACCTGATGATTTTTAAGGTCCTTCCAACCTTCACCATTCAATGATTCTGTGATTCCATAATCCCAAAGGGCAAAAAAATGAAGGTTAGTGTATGGAAGGCTGAGTCTGATTGGCCATGACAGCAGCTCCTTTCTGTAGGAGAGTTTCTTTTTGCACCACCTGTGGTGCAGCAAAGAGATCCAGTGGGACAGGGAATGGGAAGGAACAAGCATGGGACCTTGAGGCTTTTTTTCTTGGCTTGTTTTTGAGCAACAAGTTCCCTTTTCCCCACTGTCTTCAGCTTCTATATTGCCCCTCCTATAACTCCCACCTTCTCCATGGTGTCCTTCCTCACCTGCCCTACCAAAGCAGTTGTTTCCCTTTGTCTCCAGGTCCATATCAATCCATGCTGAGTTGGTTGGATTTATTTTTATCCTGCCAATGAATGCCTCATTATTTTTTACTCTCTCCTACCAAAAGCAGTCTCACACAAGTCACAGAGAACTTTCAGATGAAGGCCAGGTCTGAGGCTTCTCCAGTTAAAGCCTGGATGATGTGTCTGAATACAAGTTGACATTTCTAAACCCCAGAAGATGGGTCTCTTTAGGTCTTACTGGCTCTCCTCTTGAGATCTTTGCCAGGTAATTTTGGGAAGACTTGGGAATGAGGAAAGAGATGGAAGGCAAGAGCTTCTCCCCCATCATTGAATCATCCAATGTAGATGTGGTGCTGAGGGACATGGGGCAGTGGTGGCCCTGGCAGGGCTGGGGGAATGGTTGGACTGGATGCTCTTCAAGTTCTTCTCCAACCAGATTGATTCAATGGTCTCTAGTTTGACCAGTCTGTGAGTAGCTTTTAAAGAGCCAGTCTGATTCATTTCTTCCAGCTCCATCACCCAGAAGCAGAAAAAATCCTTAAGGAGAGGAGGGTCTGTTTTCTTCAAATATCCACACAAATTTTTCCAAGAAAAACAAGATCATTCCATTATTCTTGGAAAACAGGGAGGAGTGCTTCTGTTTGCCTCAGGATCAGGCCCACAAGTAGGTTCCCATGGCACTTGCATTGGGTGTTGAATTCTTTTGAGATGTTTCCACCCAAATCTCCCATTGCTTCAAAAAATGGGCATCGACTCCAATACAGGGATGGGTTTAGACCTTCCCATTGAAGTTAGGAGGTTAGGAATTCAAGTTGGCCCTTCCAGCTTTGCTTTGTACCACCTGTCCCCACCATTGCTAAAGGTTCTGCAGTCCCATCCTCTTCATCTCGAGGTGATAATCACTTCAAGGAGGTTTGTGACTACTGAAATGCTAATATTGCAGGCAGAGAATTACACTCAGCTGGAGACAAATCACTTTCTTTTAACCAAAAAACCCCCCACAACAAACAAACAAACAAACAAAACCCCTGTGTCTTTTATGTTCCAATTTATTTTGTCCACACCCTATTTTTTAGGGTTGGCTTTTTTTTCCATGGGCATTTTTCCTGTTCATGTGTAATATCTGAGCACTTCCCTAGTGATAGTTCTCAGCTTGAGTTGCCTTCAGTCATGCTGAGGAGGATTTTATGCCACAAACCCTTCTGTTTCTTCCAGAATCTTTCCTGGGGGAGAAAATGATTCTTCCCCATATTTCAATCCAGCTCTTAGTCAAAGAATAATGAGTGTAAACTCCAGCAGGGAGGTCTGGCCATCTTTGGTTGAGCAAGGTGATGGATGTGCAGGTTGGAGGTGTTGTCTGTGCTTCAGGAAGACTTTTTGTAGAGGGAGATTCTCAGCTGGAGTGAAGCCCAGCACATGTGAGTTGCAAACCTGCTGATTTCCAAGAATGAGGAATTTTAGTTGAGGCTGAAGGAGATAAAACCTGGGATTGCATCAAGTCTTCCTGTCAAGTAACATGTAAAACACCTGCCAGAGCACTTGTAAAGAGAAGTACCATGGAGGGAGATAGAGCCTGTTCAGTAATTAAACTGGCTGCCATTTGAATATTTCTCCTTTATTCTGAACTTGATGATCCCTTTTTTGGGGGGATCAATGGATTCAGTGACTGATTTTCTAATCATCTGATGATGAGCAGGAGAATGGCATCACTGCCAGCAAGGTGCCTTCTCATGAACCCCTTCCCCAGTGTGGACATCAAATAGTTGCCTGGTTCAAAGTCATAGATCTATTGGCCTTACTTTAAGGACACAGGTGAAGAAAAATGTGAAATACCTCTACCTCCATGGCCTGGAAGTTGCTGATGCTGGAGGGTTGCTCACCCAGCTTGAAGAGCATGGGAATTGATTTGATCCAGTTGGTGCCAATTGGTCCCTTAATTTCCTTCTCCTTTGATACTGGAGTTTGCTTCCAATTGACCCAAAATTCCAGGCTGAGGCCCCCCAAAAAAATAAGCTCTATCAACCAAAACCCAGAAAAGATCAATATGTTTGGTTGTTCATAACACACCCCAGGGAGGCAGATCAATGAGATGTTTCAAATAGGGTCTAAGATAGAAACCTTTCTTATTTAACTCAGCACAAGTGTGGCTGGTGATACCAAAATGCAGCTTTATGCAGGGCTCCTGGGTCATATTTGGGTCTCTGCCATCAAGATGTGTCCAAGCCTTAATCAGGTCCATTCCAGGGGTCAAACCTCCCCTAAAAAATCAGTCTAGATTAAAAAAAGTCTCTCCTTTTTTAGAAGGAGTCCATCCAAGAGGCTGGAAAGGGGTGTTGAAGTGATGGGAATGCTCCTCTTGTTCCTCCTGGCGTGGGTGGAGGCCACAGGGTTAGCTTCCAATTTGCATGTTGAAGAAAGAAATGCCTGCCCATTTGCTTTGTCTGGGGAGAGAGGAAGAGAAAGCATCCCCATCATTTCTTTCCCTGCCAAAAATCCAGGCAGCAGGTTGAGGATCAGCTTGAGGGGGCTAAAAACACCCCCGTGGAGGGAGCAGGAGGGACGTTCCGCTTGGGAAAGGAGCCCGTCGGAGCCTTGTGTTGTGCTCAGGTCCCAGCCAAGTGGTTTTTAAGATGTTCTCCACTCCCTCTCTTTGCAGTCAGCAGACACAACTGCTCTGAGTCACACCGTGCTGGGGCTGAAGCCCAACACCATGTATGAGTTCTCTGTCATGGTCACCAAGGGGCGACGGTCCAGCACCTGGAGCATGACGGCGCACGCCACCACCTACGAAGCAGGTAGGGCAGGAGCTGCTGGAAAGGTTGGCTTGGGGGGGGAGTTGTCCTTGGCTTCAGAAGTGGTGTTGAAGTTCCTCCTCACTGCATCAACCAACATTGTCTGTGCACAATGAACCACAGCTCTTCGTTTTGCCTGAAGGTGTGAGGAAGGGGCTTGGGACGAGGGGGTCTCGTGAGAGGATGAGGGGTGATGGTTTCAAACTGGAAGAGGGGAGATTGAGGTTGGACATGAGGAAGAAATTCACTGTGAGGGTGGTGAGAGCCTGGCCCAGGTTGCCCAGGGAAGCTGTGGCTGCCCCATCCCTGGCAGTGTTGAAGGGCAGGTTGGATGGGGCTTGGAGCAGCCTGGGCTGGTGGGAGGTGTCCCTGCCCATGCAGGGGGGTTGGGACTGGATGATCTTGAAGGTCCCTTCCAGAATGTAATTGTTACTGTCTCTTTTGTGGTCCTTCAGTGGACCATGGTAAGGAAATAGTCCTCCTGGGCTTTACTTCTGGTTCTCACCTTGGTGTTGATGACTGCACGTGTCCTGATCCCTGGCTGGGCTCTGCCATGAAGTTTGTATTTCTTTTAGGAGAAGCTCTTGAGCCTGTGACACTCCTGGGTAGATTTTCTTTACAAGCCAGAAGGTTGAGGGAGGTTATTCTCCTTCTCTACTCTGATCCTCTATGACTCCACCTGGAGTACTGAGTAAAACTCTGGAGCCCCCAACATAAGAAGGACTTGGAGCTGTTGGAACAAGACTAGAGGAGGCCACAGAGATGCTGGGAGGGCTGGAGCAGCTCTGCTCTGGAGCCAGGCTGGGAGAGTTGGGGTGTTCAGCCTGGAGAAGAGAAGGCTCCAGGGAGACCTTAGAGCACCTTCCAGGGCCTGAAGGGGCTCCAGGAAAGCTGGGGAGGGGCTTTTGATGAGAGTATGTGGCCACAGAATGAGGGCAGTGACCTTAAACTAAAGCAGGGTAGGTTCAGGTTGAATATCAGGAAGAAGTTCTTTACAATGAGGGTGGTGAAGCAGAGCAACAGGTTGTCCAGAGAGGTGGAGGAGGCCTCATCCCTGAAGACCTTTAAAGTCGAGCTTGACAAGTCTCTGAGCAACCTGATCTGGTAAAAAACCCCCCTGAACACTGGACTTGAATGGTCCCTTCCAACCCCACACATTCTGTGACTGGTTGATATCTCCACTGAACTTCATAGTGCAGACCTACTAGATTTCCCACCTTCTTTATGGTTGCCTGAAGACCTTGACCAGAAGTAGGAATGTCTATGGTTGGTTTGAAATGCTTTCCATCTTCAGATGTTGCAGACAGCAACATGTCCACCTGGGCACCAGAGCAGCACGTGCTTTGGTTTCCTGAGGGCCTTCAAAACACTCTGGGGGCCCTGCCAAATTTCCACCAGGAGATACCAACTGAAATCTGCTGGGCAAGATGGACTTGTTGGCTTCTTTTCAAAATGAAGCCCAGAGAATGTTCCAGGTCATTCACAAAGAGGGAAGAAGAGGGAAGATGTGTCCTGAGGTTTTTGTTCCCATGGGATTGCAGTGCAATTATCTGAGCTGGATGGAGCAGCTCTGTTAATTAATCTGGACTGCTGATCTTTATTGCCTGTTTTGGACCCATTCTGACTTTCTCTTGATGCTCTTAAAGAACCTCCAGCTCAGCATGGCTACACAATTCCCTGGAGACCACTAGGGTGGCAAGGGAGAGTTGTTCTGCCCATCACTCAAAAGCAACTCTCAGAGCCAAGTTCTGTCCCCACATCTGCCCCCACCAGCCCCACTGATGGGAGGGCTGTTGATGAGCAGTGAGGGAAACATCTAAAGCTCTGATTTTTCTCATGGTATCTTCTGTCCCCAGTCTGCTGAGAGCAGAGCTCAACTTCAGCCACTCTTTATGGTCTTCACCAGCCTGGCAAGGCTGTGGGGCAGGAGGGGGCCTTGCAAACTTGACTAGTTTCATCTCCCAAAAGACTAAAGACTAGGAAGGGAAAGGGTTAGTTCATGAGGACACACCAGGAAGGGTTCATGTCAGAACATGGAAAGTAGCGGTGAAGGTCAAGGTGCTGTTTGCATGCAGAGAGATGTGGTGGAAGCACAATCATTTCTGCTGAGTTGGAGGATGTTTCACCTCCCACCAGCCCAGGCTGCACAAGCCTCATCCAACCTGGCCTTCAACACTTCCAGGATTGGGGCAGCTTCTCTGGGCAACCTGTTCCAGCACCTTCCTACCCTCATGGTGAAGAATTTCTTCCTGATGTCCAACCTAAATCTCCCCTCTTCCAGTTTAAAACCATCCCCCCTTGTCCTCTCACTGACCTCTCTGGTGAAAAGCCTCCCCAGCTGATGAGTAGTCACCTGCTTAAAATATATATAAATGATGAAGGAGCTTCCTATTTTCTGTGTGCAGGTTTCTTGGTTGCTTTCTGGATTCCACCTGTGGTGCAAACACCACAAGACCATCTGCTCAGTGTTGCTTCCAAGGGATCAGCTCCTTGTGACCAGAGCAGCTGGCTCTTCCCTTCCTTCCTGGTCAAGTTCAGTGAAAGTTTGGCACCCTGAAGATTTGTGTCTGTGCTTTAGATCAGGCTGGTTTAGCTCAGCATCAGCTTTACCTCCTAAAGTGACTTTGGAGCAGCTGGTCAGGCCAGAATGTTGTTTAGTGGCCAGATGGGGAGGACACAGATGATGCTCCTGCACCATGTTCTCCAGGCTCTAAGGCATCAACAAACCAACTAAAGGAACTATGGTCTCAGCATCAATTTATGACTCCTCTTTCCTAACTGGTTTTCAATCATTGCCCACATTTCCTTTATCCTGAAATGTATGATTTGATAATACCTGGGCCACTGTGCCAGACCTCCTGGCCAGCATCAGGATGCAAATCCAACCTTCCAGCTGCAATGCAGTGGGAACAGAGAAGCTCACATTGTTCTGTCCTGCCTACAATGTCCCAAGCTGAGCATCTCTTTAATGAATATACACCATGAGGTTTGTTTCATGCTGGGACATACCTAGAAATGTTCCTGACAGAGAAGCCATGATGTTATTAGTGTTTCATATGAGATGTTCTTGGAGGCCTTGGTGGTTGAACTGTAGGGACTGATAGTGGCAGGAGAAGAGGTCTCCACCAAACCTCAGGTTTGGTGCAGCTTTTTGTCCATTTGCCACGATTAAATCATCACTTCTAGACCAGCCATCTGGTTTTTGATGCTTGAAATGCATGTTTGACCTGCATCTAAGGACACTTCCTCTTCGGAAGGATCTAAGGAAGCAAGAAATACCTCCTGAGCAGCTTGGCCCTGCTCCCATCTGTAAGGAATTCCAACCCAGGGGAATAACTTGTCAATTCTTTTCCTTCTTTTCAGCTCCAACCTCTGCTCCCAAGGACCTGACAGTTATTACAAGGGAAGGGAAGCCCCGGGCTGTCACTGTCAGCTGGCAGCCACCCTTGGAAGCCAATGGAAAAATTACTGGTAACCATTTACATCATCCCTTGCTCTCTGGGGTTTTTTTTACTGCTCTGATCATTTGCTCCTTTCACTCCCTATATCTCTTTTGTTTTGGATTCAGTTTGCTCTCATCTTATTTCCTCTTGCTCTCCACTTGGTCTAACATTCAATCTTGGGGAAGATCTAGAACTTCAACCTTTTATTATAAATGCAAAGAGCAGTCATGTGAGTTGTAAAACAATTTGCAGCACTCAAAGCCAAGGTTTTTGTGAGATGTGCTTCTCTGTGATAATGAGCAATGACTACTCATGAGGACTTTCTTTTGCAATCATGTAACCCATCATGGATCTAATGATAGGTTGCTTGGTGCAGCACATCGTGGGAGAATTTATTGGGAGATGTTTCACTCTACAATAGCAATTTCAGGCAGTGATGATGAGGGAGAAAAAAAAAAACAACAAACAACCCTTAATTTTTACTGACAAGAAGTGAATTTAATGGATGCTTCACCATGACAGATTTTGCTTTTCCAAAATGCTGCCTCGAACCTTCATGTCTAATTAAGAAATCCAATACAAAACTTGAATGTTCATTTAGTTGGAAAAAACATAGTGGAGTTCTGTGATGTTGCATAGGAATGATCATTTTAGGTTTCCAATAGACATCTCAGAGGTGTAGAATTATTGGGAGAGATTCTGCTCATCAAAAAATGGGCACGTGGTGGGCACGTCACTATGAGCAGTTGGGTGAGACCCTGGGACAGGTTGCCCAGGGAGGCTGTGGCTGCCCCAGCCCTGGCAGTGTTGAAGGGCAGGTTGGATGGAGCAACCTGGGCTGGTGGGAGGTGTCCCTGCTCATAGCAGAGGGGTTGGAACTAGATGTTCTTGAAGGTCCCTTCCAACCCAAACCATTCCATGATTCCTCAAAGCCGTTTCAATCGAAGACCCACCATTCTCCCCTTTAAAAAGAACCCCCTGGTTTCAGACAGCTGCTTTTTGAGACCTATCTGGTGGTGGCTCCAACCTCCTTGCAGCACTCATGGAGAGCCTGTGTTCTTCTCCAGCTTACATCCTCTTCTACACCCTGGACAAGAACGCTCCCATTGACGACTGGATGATGGAGTCCATCAGCGGCGACCGCCTGACCCACCAGGTGCTGGACCTCAACCTGGACACTGTCTACTACTTCAGAATCCAAGCTCGGAATGCCAAGGGTGTGGGGCCTCTCTCAGATCCTATTTTCTTCCGGACACTGAAAGGTTTGGATTTGTTTCTTCTCCTGGATAGGAATGGGAACTGGAATTTTGGAAGGCTTTGCAATGAATCCAGAAGAAATCCAATGACTTGAAATGATGCTTGAGAGATAAAAGTAGCTTAGCACACAGGAGATGACAAAAGTAAAGCACATCATGAGGCACTAACTGTCTTTTTAACTTCCCTCAGCTGAGGGGAACACGTTCTGACACCCCCTCCCTTCCTGCCAGCAAGGGGGAAGCTAATTGGATCGGACTGGGTTTCTCAAGGGAGGTCCCTTTTCCTTTGGGATCCTCCAGTGACTGGAGGAACCTGCAGTGCCTCACTCCTAGCAGCAGCACAGGCAGGCAAAATTCAAATTGCAAAACCTCAGCAGCTTGATTTTGCCTGGGGAAAGTCATGCCAGGTGGTTTTCAGTCCCTGAACAACAAACTCATGAATACCTGATCCTTCTCCCTTAGTGACCACTGAGCAGGAAAAACAGGAGCACCCTCATTTATTTATTTTTGGGGGTTGGTGTTTCAGCACCAGTGTTTCTGAGAGCAAGTGACTCCCTTTTGTCTCAGCATCAAATAAGCAAGGAGAGATTATTCCTCTTCTCTCTTCCCCTGCTGCCTGTTGATGTGAAGACCTGACGTGATCTACCCCGAAATGACTCGTTATAAAGATGTCAGGGAGTGGGAAGCAGGGTGCTCTGCTCCTCCTGTTGGAACTGTCACTCATTTGCTTGCACAAAAAGGAGGAAATTACTTCTCCAAAGAGGTGTAATTAAGGAAAAACTCCCCATGACACCAACCAGCCAAGCTGTGCCAGGGAAGGAGCGTGGCACGTGCGAGAGCACGTTGCTGCTGCTTCTCTGGAGAAAATCCAGGCCTTTGTAGGTAAAAATGCCATCTTGGCAGCAGGGGGTTGAACCTGAGCACGGGCTGAGCCTGAGAAGTCACAACTGGGGGCTGGAATTAAGGAAATTCAGCCTCAAACCCAGGGCTGAGAGGCTTGGAATGTGTTTTCTTTTGAATCGATTCGAAGTGACTTTATGTAACACAAGCTGGAATTGTCTCCCAAGATTAGTGATGGATTCCCCCACATAGGGCAGGTTTCAGTCTCAGCTTGCCAGGGTGCTGAGCCACCTATTTCAACTCTATTATTACCTAGCAAGGCTGGACCAGATGATCCCTGAGGTCCCTTCCAACCTGGTGGTCTGTGACTCTAAGCCAAGCCAAATGACTGCAGAGAAGGGGTCCTGCACCACCCCATGGGCATTCCCATGGCCAACTGGTTGGTTGGGTTTGGAGAGAGCTTGTCTTTGAGTTTGTCTTCCAGGAGAGCTTGTCTTTGAGTTTGTCTTCCAGCAGACCTTGATGTGAAGAGCCCATTTTTCTGCTGCCTCTGCAGGAAGGAGGGAAATCTCCCCCTTTTTTTTGCCCACTACAAGGAAGGATTTTGAGCTTGCTCCTTTTTCCTGCTCTGGTGTTCATGTTCCTAGTGACCATTCAGATTAGAAAAAGCCTCATACAACATTTTTCATGAATTAGTGAAAGTCAGGGGGGGAAAAAAGGGAAAGAAAAACTGTATCCACTTGTTTGGAGCTTATCACTGCCTGGCCAGGTTTGTGGGACTGACTTGCCCAAGTCGTGTTCTACTTTGAGTGAGTTATTGGGAGGATCCTGATTATTCCTTCTCCCAGGCCATGAAATGTGGAGAGATAACCACGTTGAGGGTGCTTCATCTCCCTCAAGGGGATGGTGCCAACTTAATTTCATGCTCCCAATTTGTGCTAAGCAGAAGGAGTCTATTAGGCTGAGTTGAAAAGGAACTGAGGCATCAAAATATAATAACTGCAGACTAATGAGATATGAAAAGATGCAGAGACCCAGATATCAAACTAAACCCCAAGATTAATGCACTTGATATTGCCTACTTTGTAATGTATATACAAAGGGCCATAAAGCTCATTTGGGAAATGAATTCTAGATCAGGCAGGATCAACAGATCCCCCAAAGATGAATGTCTACATTTGTTACATCTTGTAATAGCCTACGAGGACTACGTTTAATCCCCTGCCATGAATCCTTAATGCTCTCCACCCTGAATATGTCATGTTCAATACTGTTCAGCTGGATTTTTGACAAATCTATCCCTACACTTGAGGTGAAAAAGACTTTTTGAAGTCTCAACTCTTCCATGCTGAATTATGTCAAAAAAAAAAAAACAACCCATGAAAATGTTGGGTTTTCCCACCCTGAACGAGGATCAACAGAAGCTGTGGATGTGCCCTGTGGTGCTGTGGGCTCTGATGGCAAATCCATGTCCTGATCACAGGGAGGTTTACACCTAAAGAAGCATCCAAGCTCCACTTAGTCCCCCACTGCCTTGTTTATTTATGGTGGCACATAAAGCTCCTCCGAGGGAACCGAACGACTCGCGGTGTAATTGGGAGGTGTTTGTAGCAAGTGTCTCCTTCCCTAATGAAAACGTAGTGATCTGTGAGAAAGAGATATGTTTAGTAGTAAATAACACCAGCATGGAGCAATGAGTTTATATTCTATCCCACTCAGCTTTGCAGGCAGATCCTCAGCTTATGGAAATTGTCCTTGCACTGGGAACATCCATCACTCCGCACCAGTTTCCATCAGTTGAGGAGCTGCTCTTTCCGTGCTCTGGCTGCTGAAGTTGAGCACTCAAAGCCTGAAGAATCTTGATACACTCCTTCTTAAGGACCTGGGATAGGAGGAGAAAATGGGATTGGACATGAAATCTTGACAGGGATTTTTTGTTGTGTCTTTTGAGGTGAAATTTGAGGTCGTTACTGGAGTTTTTCTGAGTCCTTACTGAGTCTGGAGGACTTCAGAAAATATTAGGTCCAGTTTTGGAGCTGCTAACATAAGAAGGAGCTCATAGAGAAAGTCCAGAGGAGGCCACAGAGATGATGAGAGGGCTGGAGCAGCTCTGCTCTGGAGCCAGGCTGAGAGAGTTGGGGTGTTCAGCCTGGAGAAGAGAAGGCTCCAGGGAGACCTTAGAGCAGCTTCCAGTGCCTGAAGGGGCTCCAGGAAAGCTGGGGAGGGACTTGGGACAAGGGCAGGGAGGGATGGGGTGAGGGGGATGGATTAAAACTGGAAGTGGGGAGAATTAGGTTGGATACTAGGAGGAAATTCTTTGGTGTGAGGGTGGTGAGAGCCTGGCCCAGGTTGCCCAGGGAAGCTGTGGCTGCCCCATCCCTGGCAGTGTTGAAGGGCAGGTTGGATGGGGCTTGGAGCAGCCTGGGCTGGTGGGAGGTGTCCCTGCCCATGCAGGGGGGTTGGAGCTGGATGATCTTGAAGGTCCCTTCCAGCCCAAACCATTCCATGATTCTGAGAGAGACAGAGATTTAGATATTTAGATATAAAGAGAAGCACTCACTCCATGTGCTTGTCCTGTTTTTCTGCTCAGCTGGACCTGTTCTGGGTTTCAGCCAGGATTTCCACCCAGCCCTTCTGGAAATCCAGAGGGTTAGGGAGTAGTGTCCTGCTTATTGGGATCACACACACCACGTTACATGGATAGAAAGTGAAAAAGAAACCACAACTTGCCTGTTCATGCACCTCTAGATGGAACATCCAGTGTGAATAAAAGACTGGATCAGCTGTGATTTGAAATGGGTGGGTGGGAAGGGAGAGAGAGGGAGGAGGAGGTGGTGGGCTGAGCTTCAGGTGTTGGATGCAAGAAAAGCTGTGGCTGGGCTGTAAGAGGACACCAGGTGAAATGGTGCCTCTTTTGTGCCATTCCTCTCAGAGCCCTGTAATAGCAGAGGATGCTGGTCCCACCCCTGCAACCCCCCTTTTTTTGGCAGGGCTGGTGTGGGGCAGCATTTCTAGCCCTGCAGTGCCCTCTAATGCTGCCTTGGCGAGGTGGTTCCTCAGATCCTCACTGACACCAGCTGGGAGGAGATTTCATTCCCCCCAAAGGGCTGCAGAGTTGCTTGGTTGGGAGTTTTGCCTCCCCCATCACCTGGTTCAGGCAGCCAAGTGGTGCCAGGGTAGAACTTGAGGGACATCAGGAGGTCCCAGAAGCCAGGAGGATGATTGATGAACACTTTTGTCCTAAGGGAAAGGTGGTGACCCAGGGAGGACCAGAGATTCCTGAAAGTTCAGGGCAATAGCAGCTACTTAAGAAGCTGAGGGAAGTTTCATTCCCTCAACCATATCATAAATAGTCAGAATTTGTAGCTGGGCAGGAAAGAAAAGCCTTTAATATATCTTTTGAATTCTGAAATCTTGGCTGGGGAGCTTCACATCCCACTCTCTTCTCTGGTTATTATGCAAAAACATGTAAATAGTTTTAAACCCCTTTGTAAAAAGCAGAAATAATGATAACATAAGTCAGGCTGAGCTTTCAAGTTGTAGGTGGTTTGACTGTAATTATTCCAAGCAGAAGTATCTCTCTCTCCTTTTCCCCTCTTGCTTAATTAAACTCCCCAGATCATGTTGACAAAGAACAGGAATGAAAACAAAGGTGTGGGAAAGGTTTCAGGTTGGGAAGAACATGGTGACAATAGCAGATCCAAGGCCATGTTCAAACTGTGTTTGGAATTCAAGGAGTGTCTGGGTGATGCTCTTAAACATATGGTTTAGTTGTGGAGCAAGGAGTTGGGCTTGATGGTCCCTTTGAGCCCCTTCCAACTTGGGATCCTGCTGGGGCCCTTCCAACATGGGATCCTATTGAGCCCCTTCCAACATGGGATCCTTTTGAGCCCCTTCCAACTTGGGATCCTTTTGAGACCCTTCCAACTTGGGATCCTTTTGAGACCCTTCCAACTTGGGATCCTTTTGAGCCCCTTCCAACATGGGATCCTTTTGAGCCCCTTCCAACTTGGGATCCTTCTGATCCCCTTCCAATTTGGGATCCTTCTGAGATCCTTCCAACATGGGATCCTTTTGAGCCCCTTCCAACTTGGGATCCTTTTGAGACCCTTCCAACTTGGGATCCTTTTGAGCCCCTTCCAACATGGGAGCCTTTTGAGACCCTTCCAACATGGGATCCTTTTGAGACCCTTCCAACATGGGAGCCTTTTGAGACCCTTCCAACTTGCATTCTCTGGTTCTGTGACTCTTTGTTTGTCCTCTGAGTTCTCCAGGATCTCTCAGGAAAAAAAAAAAACCAAACAAGGGAATGGTGAAGCCCCTCCTGTCCCCTCTGTCCTGTCCCCGGGGCTGTAGGTCCCCTGTGTCACCTTGCCCACGTGGAGCTGCCATCCTCTAATGACATTGTCTCTTTCTTGCAGTGGAGCACCCTGACAAAATGGCCAATGACCAAGGTATGGTGCCCTCAAGCTTTTCTTCTGGGGTCTGGAGGCCATGCTGGGGGGAAGGGGGGGGGACACTTCTCACCTGGGCCACACACCTGATGAGGCAGGATGAGGCAGACACTGGTACAGTAATTAATCTTGTTGATGAAGTTCTGCTCAGCTGAGGCTGCTCCTTTGATGGGGAAGATGTAAATTTTCAGGAGGAGAGGAAATTGTTTTGTCTCTGGGTTGTTTTTTTTTGAAGGACCAATTAAAATGTCAAGCTGCTTGGTATGAGATCAATTTTTAGTCTCTTCTGCTGCACTTCTGAATAATTCACACAGTGTGTCCTTAAGCTCAGCATCATTTCCAGGCTCCTCTTGCATCCTTTGGTGGGTTAGAGATGAAAGTTCAAAAGCCTCCCCAGTGAGAAACCCTAGATCATCTTTTTTTGCTCTCAAAACAGCCACGTTTCATCACAGCAAAGTGATGAAACCTTTGTACATGGGTGTGACATCTGCCCAAGGAACTGTCCTGGTGACAGTTGGAAACCTCAGGCCTGAGCTCAGGAGGTTGGTTTGGGTTTGAACTCTCACTTCCCACCAGCTGAAAAGGCCAAGTGAGGTGGAAACCTCAACTCATTGGCTTCACTTCACAGCCACCATTTTACCCCCATTTAGTGGATTGAGTTCACTATCCAGGAGAGGATCTTCTTGAGGAGATCAGAGTCAACTCGAGGTCACTTCCAAGGTTTTACTTGGACCTGGAGCATCCCTGGAAGTTAAGAGCTCATTTCTTCACTAGGATTTTACTTTGTACCAGGTTTGGAAATTCACCCTCTGCTTCCAGCAGATCATTTGCTGAAAAAAAAACCTACACAGGTTATAAAATCACCAGCTGGTTGTGCTCAGCATGATGGTTCTGCACCGTGGCACACATGGGTTGCACATGTCAGGTCTGAGTGGGTAAAACCTGTTTTGAAAGGGTAAAAGTGGTTCTGAAGAAGCCTGAAGGCAAATTTTTGGTGTATTCCTCTCAAATTTGCACTGAACATGTTTTCAGGCAGGTTTGGAAAACCCAGAAGAAGCTGCATCACCCAAGAGTTCAGTCTCAAAAATAGAAGAAAGGGGGGGAAAAAAGCCAGGCTGGGTGGAAAGTTTGTGGTTCAGTTCTTCACTGAGCCCCTTGTTGGGGAAAAACTCAGTGTCAGTAGAGCAGAAATATTGGGTTTTCACCTGGGCAGCTGAAATGTGCTGGATTTTCCTCCTCTTGGACTGTAGGATCTGAGGGGGAGATGTTCTCAAGCTTCTTGGCACATCCTCCATAGGCTTGTTGGGATCTCAGTTCAACCTCCATGTTGATGTGACCTTGGGGATGGATTCTATGAAGGTTGAGGTCTTCACCTGATCTTTCAGCAACAAAGACAAGTTTGTGGGGCTAGGTCTCCCTGTGTTTCCAAGCTCAAGCATTTATCTGCTTTCTAACAGCTAATTTGCCCTAGAAATCA